CACGGCGAGGGGGGCTTGGGCCCTGGGCGCCAGTGGCCCCCCTGCGCGCCCGGGCATCCCCTGCCCGGCTGCTCCATGGGGGAGATTTTCAGCAAGAAAACAAACGGAACAGTGATTCTTGTCGGGAGCTTTATGAAGATGCTTTTCTGTAGCCCAGACAAACCCAAAGCTGGTCGGCGTCATGAAAGAGCAGCGTCCTACTGTCCTCCGACCCCTAATTATATTATTTTTTAACGTGCAGTAAAATGCTGAAAAGGAGCCGGTTTCAAATTGTTTGCTGTGAATCCTTTGGTCATTTCCTTAGATCACCAAGAGTGGTTTATACTTCTGCTTTAGTAATAATTGCAACCTGCATATTTGATACCATTAGTGCACAATCAGTTTAGCAAACGTTCTAACAGTTTCAAGCACCCAAGTCTCAAGGCTTGCTGGGAGATGCTCCTCTTTAGAAATGTCTAGCAGAGGACAAAGAAGAGGACAAGTCTCAGCGTTTAAGATTTGGTAATGCTGATATTTTTCTTTGCAGGCCTGAGGTTGTGCAGGCACTGAACTACTTTACACACACCAGGGTGTACAGCAGTCCACAGAAATGTTTCACGTTCTCTCTAGGAGATGCAGACCTAGATCAAACAAATAAATGTTGCTGACACTGCAACACAGCTTACTGCCATCCACTGAACATCTGCAAGGGTAAAACGTTCAGTGAGGACAGCTTCCAGGAGGTACTGACCTAGGCGGCTCCTTGCAGAGCAGTTTTCCCTGCAGAAGGAGGTATCGGGGCTTGGAGTTGAGGCAGAGACCCAGCAGCATTGTGTGGGTAACCTCAGTCCTCTTTTGCTCACGCACCCTGAGCCTCTTCATTGCGAGAAGCAGTTCAGCTCCATGACAGCAGCGAGTTTTTAAAACGAATCGCTGGCACAGCCTGGGAGTTGAATTCAGAGTCTTGGATTTCTGTCAGTTCTCTGAGGCAGAAACTTTTCTCCTAAGCATTCAGGGAAATTTTAATGATGAGTTTTCCTAATTGTTTAGTCAACTATCTGGGTTATTTGTTACCAGATATGATAAACTTTTATCCTGAAAAGTTGCATACATCTGAAATCAGTTTGGGTTTTATTTTTATTTTTTCCCAAACTGCGTGTTTACAAAGAAGACAAAAGGAAAGAAAGAGGTATTTTACAAAACAAGTTACAAAATAAGGACCTAGAAAGAGAGACGTGAGAAGCTTTGACAAAATTTAAACACTGAGCTACTTCTTTGACCCCTGCTAGTCGTGATGGAGTGGTATTTACAGGAGGATTAACACCTTTCATCATGGATCATGCAGGAGACCGAAAGAGGTGGCAATAACGGCTGCTGGAGTAAAGATACCTTTCATCTTTTCTGCACTGGTTTTCCTCTGCCAGCTCCCTCTGCTACTATCAGCCTTGTAGCCTCTTACAGCGACAGCAGAGCAAGAGCATATTGTGGTTAAAAGAGCTGACAGCTTGCCAAA